GCTCGCTCGTGCTTTCAACCGCTCTCTACACCCCTCACCAACCCTTTCGCTCTCACTGTCACTCGAGCCTTACCACACATAGTACCGTCCTCACAGTCGGCTCCCCCACCTTCGTTATTTAACCTCGAACTTTTCACCTACGAACACGTATGTCACTACGAAATAACAGTAGTTTTAAAGAATCAGTAAAGATTCGTAGTCGTCGAATTCTACCCCTTTCTTTCGTGACGCGAGACGTTCTATTCGGAATCACAAGAAAATGTACGTTACAAGCTGGATAGAATTTTCGCGAACCGTCTTCCGCCGTCCATGAAATTCTCTCTTTCTTTTATTTAATAGAAACGTATTTTTTACTGGCCTTGAAAGTTTCACGTCGCCGACGAAGATTCGCCCGCGTTAATTTTAATCGCTAATTCAATTAACACCGTCGCCCTCCGTTAACCTCGGCATCAGCAACAGAATACTCTTCCGTTCGCCGACTCGTACCGGCTCCCTGTACTCGCGTGAACCCGACCTAACCGGCCACTGAACGTCGCGAGATTTTCTCTCGTGAAACAAGGAAACTCACCCCCTCTTGCCCCACGCCGCTGCCTTCGCGCGCCGTTCTCAACTTCCACGTAACTAGCTATCCGATCCTCCCCACTTTTCCGTTTCGAAGCTAGACCGGTTGCGCGTTCAGTTTCTTCATTCATTCATCCCCCACACGTCGCGATCGTGCCACCATTCGCTCGTCGTTCATTCCCTCTGTCACGCAATGGCTTCCGCGCGTCGACTTAAAGTCCTGTAATTTACAGTTACTATACAACATGACTGAAAATAGCTTAGACCACAATAATACAATTACAATCGTGCTGCGTCTCTGTGTGTATGTGTGTGTGTGTGTTTTATTCGGTTATTGTTCGTCTGTCCATCGCCCACCGTTCCCGTTCTCCAACTATCCAATCCCTATGTATACGTACACGCACCTTCGTCTTTCCTGTTTCAATTTTTCCTTATTAATCCCGACACTGCTACCCAGCCGTTTATCTCGAGTTCCTTATTGTACGCGAGTACTCATAAAACACTTATGTCCACTTATCGTTACCTCGTACAACGATACGGCTTCTTCTAAAAAGGTTCCTTAGAGTTTTCTTCTTAGGTACTTACACCTCTACCTATGTATATCCACCTATCTATATTTATAGACTTTTTTTTCTTTTATATATAATAACTCTTTAACACCGCCCCCCCCCGGCCCAACCCGCGCGCCCCTTGTTTCATCTTTCATTCATTCTCTCGTTCTCTCACGTTCCCCTTTCCTCTCTTCGTCGATCTATTTTGTCTGCCTATCTAACGTGTCTATCTAACGGTCTAGCTATCCATCTATCTATCTAAACTTCTAACTACCATTTATTAATTCTTAAGGTGTCCGCTCTCTCGCTTTATTACCTGCATCTTTCATAATTCTTTTTTTTTTTCTTATATTCTTAATTACACGTGCATCTGTCTCCCCACTGCCCTCACCCACTCTCATCCCAGCGTATTTTCCTTTCTGCTTTTTTTGTTTTCGTTTACGCCCCCGCTCGAGTTTAAAACAATGCACTCGCGTTCTTTTCGTACGAACGTTCGTTACATATATTTATATATGTATATTATATCTATGTACAAGGTTTTTTTTTCGTTGGTCGCCGGGATGGAAACGCGCGAAACGCTCGTCGTTGCGATCGCGGGGACCGATCGTTCACGCGACCCTCCGCCATTATTCCCGTCTCCCCTTCGATTCCGTTCGTCACACGATTGTTCTTCCATCGAATCACGGATCGTTCTGAATTTTCATCGATTCAGGGAAAGATCGACGAACAGAGACGGAGGGGGCTCTTGAAACGATAGACCGTCCACGATCGTTCGACGGGCACCGTCTTCGTATCCTCGTTTCACCTCGCCTACCGGAGACAAAGAAATGAAAAATATAGAGAAAAAAAACGTGTGGTCGGGGGCGCCCACTGGGACGCCGCACGATACCCTCGCAATATATGGCTATCAAAAAGACACCAGACACACGCACACTCTCTCACTCGAATCCCAAATCATTCTCTCGCAGTCCTCGTTTATCCTAAATCTTGTAAATGCTGCGTAGATATATTTACTTTATTTATAATTATCCGTGAACATGGTAACAAATAATGAAACACCGACAGAAATTGCACAATATACAAACTTAATCTTCTGCTCTCACCTCATTCGCCTGGATTCGTCTGTGTTCGTTCAACCCCACCCCTACCCCTCCTCCCAATCCCCGATTCGAATCGATTTTTATGAACACATTCTCGCGAACGCAAAACGAAAAGAAAGAAGGAAACAGAAGAAATAATAGAAGATGAACACTCGCATGCACGCGCAACCTTGACACGCAGCCACGCAAATCGGACGCGATACACGTGCAGCAGCAGGACATATTTGAATTACGCGCGCGCGCAACACACATACACACGGTTCGCGACTTGTACGCCGCGTCGACACTCACACCGTTCATCACGTCAGTCAGGCTTACTTAATTAGTAGGTACGGTATCGTTACGTTCTACGTGCGTTATCAGTTAATTTATTTGGCCACTGAACATTTAAAATTTAGTTTCTTTTATCTTTTCTCCCCCCCCTCCCTTCCCAACCCCCCAATCTTATCTTCGTTCGATTCGCATCACCGCTTCTCAGGTAAGATGTGTGTTTTGTGTGTTTAGTCTCTCTCACAAGCGGTTCAACACCTCCGAGACCACGGTCTAGTTTATCGTTTTTTTTTTCTTTCTTTTATTACTAAGAATTACTACTCTATTTTGTTCACCTTTCGTTTACATGAGCGATCCATCGTTCCTGGATACACACTCTCCCCTTTTCCCCGTCCCTCTGTTTCGGCCACTTTTCTCCTTATTCCGTCGAAAGAAAGAAAGAAAAAGAAAAACGAAAAATCGATGATCGGCGAGGCGAACGACGGTACTACACACTCTGGCCGGAAGTGCGCGAGACACGGTATCGGGATACCATCCGCCGTCTGTATACCTCCGGATCGCGCGCGCGCGCGCCTGCACGAGGGGGGCTTGCGTGGCCGAGAGGGATGAGTCTGACGCGTGGAAACGGTTCTAGAGCTTTGTGCGGAATGTTTGCCCGTTTATTTTGTCCCTTATGTAATAATATATATATTGTTTCAGTGAGTAAGACGAGAATATTAAAAAATATATATATATATATATATACTTCATTTATTTCTGTTGAGCCTCCGACGAGAATCTTGCCCCCCGCTCGGCGCGCTCCGCCCACCCCCCCCCATTTCAACCGTGCCGCGCGTACACGCACGTTCAGTGCGAAAAACGAATAGGAAAACGTCGCCTAAGAAAGCAATCGTACAAAAGTACAAAGTCAGATTCCGTATTATTTTTTTTTTATATATATATATATATCCGTTCAAAACCATAGGACGCGCGCGCCACTACGAAAGAAGCCTCGTGTTTTTATCGTTTTGGTTTTCCGATATTTTCAAGGAAGAATAGATCTATTCGACAAGTCGACGGTGCACGGTGTTCTGTTTCTTCCTTGAAATTCCTCTCGGTGAGTGTATGAAAAGGTAAAACGGTCGAATCGCACGAAAATTCTTCGAGTTTCGTTTCGCTGACCCCGTACGAAAACGGGGACGGTTGGACGGGGAGGGAGGATCGGGAAGCGGAGCCTCCGCGATATAATTCGCACTGTAAATTCGGGATTAACGCGAGGGCACGGTAAACTTTGCTCCCGTCGAAACTGGCCGAAATCACGTATTCAATTACGCCTCGTCATGCTCCTCTCCGCTTCCCTCCGCTCCCGCGGTCCATCCCCCCTTTTCATCGCCATTTTGTTCCGTCTCTTCGCGAGTACAATTTCGATTATTGCGTCCCGCTGAAGGGACGAACCTCGAAAGCGTCATCGTGCACGTTTTGCACCCGCGAACAGCTCTCAGTTTCCGTCGGGAAAAGCGAAAGGAAGAGGTCGTGTGTATACGAGCGCGCATGTGTTTATTCGTTTAAGAAAGAGTGAAGATGAGGAAAATGAAAGGGATATGGGAAATAACATTTGGCACCGATAGACAGCATTTATTGTCCTCGCGAACCCGGTGATTGCTTCGACTTTCGAACTGAACTCCGTGTCAGTGATTTCTCGCGAAAATTTTCGACTTCTTATGCTCGTGTTGGACCCACGTCACTTCCAATGAATTCGACCGTTTTACTGGAGGCAGACGGCAGACGAGATCTTGGCGAGCCTCCGACACCGTTTCTGCGGAACTATCTACTTCGTTGCTCTCTCCACCCTCCTTCCCCCTCCTGTCCCCAATCCTCGAAGGTAGTACGCTTCCGTATGGCCGCACGAGATCACCGACGGTATACCTTATTTGATCTTAGAATTTAATGAATTGGCAGTGATTAAAGTCCCGTGACGGAGACTCCCCGCGCTGATACATAGCAGTCGCGTGTTCCGGAGGCTTCGTTCGATCGGCTAATATATAGTCTCTACTGACACGCCTGATGTCTCGTTGGCCGCTGTGTATGACGTAGAAAATACCGTCGGACCTTTCGTCGAGCCACATAATACTCAGATTCAATCTGCATCTCGAGGAAGGGGAGGAGAAAGAGAAAAAGAGAGAGAGGGAGCAGACGGTGCACCGGGTTGCAATTTCCCATTGCAACACACGTTCCTGATTGTACAGGTGTCGATCGACGATTTTTAACGATCGTACGCGATATACTCGGATCTGTCCAGAGATGGATACAGGGAAATAGACGGTTCTCCGGTGAATTACCTCGTTGGATCATCGATTTTTTGTTTTCGTTTGTTAAAGACGCTAACTCGTTGGTTGTCGAGCGTTCGTTACCCTGAGCGAAACCGCGACCGTTTACACACGTTTTCCCGTCGATCGTTACGATATCGGGGGTCGCGGTTCGATGGCTCGTCAGGTATCCGTGGAAGAAACGCGATCACGAGGAGCCCCGGTTCGTCGTGCTCATTGTCTTCGGGTATCCTCGGGGAGGAAGGAACCTCGTGCGTCGGTCCTGGACAGCTCGGTGCGCGGAGGACTGCTCGCTGAGACGATCGATTACACGTGTCTCTTCATGTGGAGAGCTAGATGGTCGCTGCGGGAGAAGCATCGGTCGCAGTGCCGGCACTTGAACGGTTTCGCGCCGGTGTGCTTGCGATAGTGGCGCGTCAGCTCGTCGGAACGCGCGAATCGCCATTCACAGCCCTCCCAGCTGCACTTGTACGGCTTCTCTCCTGAAACAGAACCGGGGGGGATACGTTAATGTTGATCGACCACCTCGGTTGGTTCATCTGATTTTAAGATCTGCATCTCTAATGCCTGACACGGAGAACCAGTTCATCGATATATGAAATTTTTTATAAGAAACTAGAACTAGATCAACCAAGAACTGGGAGATTTAAAGGAACCGAAAGATTTAAGGTCAGAAGACCTGGAAAGCTAAGGACCTGAACCTAAGAACCCTAGCTATGAGAATTATATTCCTGATATATTCTAGCTTTGGTTCCCTGGGTCAAACGGTCTTCTAGCTTGGCTTGTCAAGTTCCACTAACAAGAGTATCAATATCCTCGAGTGGTCCCATTTGAGTCTTTCAGTTATGGGTTGCCCCGATTAGGGTCTCCTGTTCCTAGATCGATATAACTCGAGTATACAGTCCTCGATCGGACCAGTTCGAATTTATCAGTTCCGACTTGGTTCGCCTAAGTTCATTGTCACAAGATTACTAGAATTCGGGTCCGTTGATCCCATATTAATCGAACTGTCTTTGGCTTATCAAAGTATTCTTTCATTCGACTAGCTACTGCACGAAACTCCTTCCTATACACTGCCAAGGAACGGAACTTGTCGAAAGAAGCAATACAATACAAGCTCCGGGCGACGTCGTGTATCGCTAATTAGCATAATAAACAGCAACGGAGCCAGTGCATAACATTATCACCGCCGGCAGTCTAATAAACTTTATGAACGCCGAAGTCATAACCGGGCTGATATTTCCGCGACACAATGTGCAGGCGGTGGCGGCCGCACGAGAAAGGGGTTTTATTGTTTCGAACACGCGCGTCTACCCTTAAAATTACTAAAACCAAGGGGTGCATATAAAACTCTCTCCGGGCTTCGGGATGGACGATAAACCGTGGCGTTTTAAAGGCAACGCCGGGATACTTTGGCGGCACGTGTGGACGACGTACCGGTGGGGACCATCCGTGAGGGGGTGCGGAAAGGGGTGGTCGCATTATTAACTCGTAAATAATCTATTCGGTAATACGGAAAGTGGCTGACGTTGATGAGACTGCGGTGCGGAACAGAAAATGCTGGGTCGCCACCTGTGGCGTTTCGCCGTCGAGCTTAACAAACTGGCGAACTTTGTGCCGGTGGAAAAAAAGGGGAAATAAAGAAGGCAAGAACGATGGACGGAAAGGGTGGACAATCAACGCGTCTCTTTTAGTCCAGTGCAGTATATGGACAGTCTCAATGAATTACTACGGAGTACTATAGTATTTTTGTTTAAATTATTCAATTACAATGTCTTTTTCTGTGAGTAATTCAATCACGGAGAAGTCGTGGGATATCGCGAAATTTCGAAGCCTTGAAAGTTTACTACTACGCCCAAAGAAATTTCAAGACTCTTTCTTCTGAGCGTAGTGTCTAGTAGAAACTTTCAGAGACATTTCAAGTAGTCTCTTCAACGGGGGGCATTCAGAAAAGAAGAATTGGAAATGATCTCTTGGAAAGTGAGAAACCCTCGCTCAAGAATATCCAGACACTCTAATCGGACAGAATTGCACGGTGTTCTTTCATAAAAAAAGGAAATAAAAGCGAAGCCTAATGGCGGCTTCGAAGGTAAGGGAATGTAAACGCGAGTGTAAAACCGCGGTGTAAAACGTTTGACATCTACGTCGCTTGACACTGTACCTGATGAATTAAGGGGAGGGACAAAGAGCGAGGAATACTTTCGCGCGATTGGCATTCGCAGAAAGTGACGCTTTTATTGTCGTGTGCTTCCTTTCAGGATGAGAGAAACGCCACGCTGTAATATAGTATGTATCTCTGGTACGTGTAACGTGCTGCGAACAGGTCGTAACTGTTTTTAAAACAGTTTTCGTACTTTAGGTATTGGCACTCTTTATTCTACTGTATGTATGTTTATTCTAACATTAACTGACTATAACATCAATAAGATAATTAACAGATTATTGAAGACTCTTCCTTTCGACACCTTTAAAATGATTTGAAGATATTCGAATACGTCATAAATTCTATAGACACTGGAAGCTAAAAAAGGTTCAGCTTACTAGAATTTAAATCAAATAGTTTTGAACTCGATGAAATCCATTTAACCCTCGAAGACCACACTGGGTAGGAAGTTAGGGCTGCGGTGTTCTATCAAAAGATTTATGATAAAATTACTTGATATATACGCAGAAGAACGCTCAGGGTTGTGCCAACCCTTGAGTGGTTTTTGATGGTTAACCTCGTTTGAATTTGACTCGTTAAAAGCACACGTTTCGTTCCAAGTCCATCCAACTTGCAGAGTTCCTAATATACCATCTGCAAAAATAAACGATCTAACGAACAAATTCTATACAAATCCATCAATGAAAGATCCCATATCCACCAGCCTCGCGAAGAAAGTAATCGGTACGATTTCGCGAATTCCCCGTCTCGAACGTCGTGCAACGCGATCAATTCCTCCTAACGAATTCGCTCGAAGGAGCTTCTCTGCACGGGTAGACAGCCGGAGTTACGAGCCGTAGAAGTAGAAGCGGGCTGACATTCCCATCCCCCACCCCCAGAGGGGTGAGAAAAATTTATACCCGTCTCCCGTACCGCCCCGAAGTTCTTCCGAGAAAGCTCGTCTTTTTCAACAGGCTCCGTCTTCGGAGCCCCGCGAGGTGACGGGGACAAATCCAGCCCGGACGTGGCGACGCATAACCAAATCCAATCCCTTCTGCCATTCATCCCCCTCGCCGCCACCGCTGGTTCGTGTCACGCGGCGGCTCCTTCGACGGAGACACCCGACGGAAGCCGCGACTTTTCCAGGAAATACGGCACACACGTACTCGACACCTCTCGCGCGTACTGGGTTCGACCCCCTCTGCCATGGAGGGAGGTGGAGGGTGGAGTGCCACCAACCCCTTACGATCGTGCATACGGGCATCGGAGAGAAATGGGCAAGCGTAGCCTCCCCTCCGTCCGCGTACAAGAGAATTGTCGCGGCGAAGAGGAGGAATTTTTCAAAGATAAGGGTAAACCGTCCCCCGAGGAAGAAGCGGATGGAGGTCGAAGCGAGCGAAGGCGGAGCGAATATATTACCAGGTCGTGAATGACGCGAGGTGAAATTGTCGTCGAGTGTACTGTGCATCGTACACGACCGTATAGGAATCGTGGACCAATGCATGGTTCGCATTCATTGCCATTTTCGGAACACGTTTCGAGAATATATATATATGGATGTACGGGGCACGGAATGTTCATTATTTGTGTGTAGAATGACGAGGGAACGTGACTCGTGGATTTGGAGCCGTTTTTGTCTATTGTTCCGGCACTCTTTGGCTGTGGTTGCGTAGAATATATTCTGTTTTGTGGCCATTTGCTTGCGATGGAACAATGAATCTCCACGCAGAAGCTGGAAATTATAGAGTGTACTACTGTAGGATGTGATTCTGAGAAACTGGGATATATAGAGCTTTTTGGAATCGGTATGGAACAAAAAGTCGGGTGGCTTTAGAGGAACTATCTGTGTATAGATCCTCATTAAATCCCACAGATCTGATACACTGTAACAATGCAACAATGCATGATTTTTTATCATGTTCAGATAATGTTACTTTTGCTATAACAAAACATTTTATACTTCTCCAAGGAATGAAGAATTGAATCTTTTACATTTGACTGTTTTCAGACTGTGTTTTCAAAATGAAGAATAATTGAATTAAATATTAGCCCTTTGGACTCTTCAAAACACATATTAACACTTTGCAGTGTTTCCGTTTTCACCGACAGTATTATGTTACATTCGAATGTTTTAACTGGGATATTATTTAATCCCATAAATGACTATTTGTGCTGTACGTCTACATATACGAATCCTACTTACAGTAAACAAGAAATACAAAACGTAATATTATACTATGTGTATGAAAATACTGATTCGTAAAGATAACTTCTACCAGTAAGGGGAACACACGCAAAGGGTTGAATACATTACAATGGCACGAATAATGTAAAAAGCAATCCTTAAAACAATTCCTTCTCCAATGAAAAAAAAACGGCAATACAGACGTTGCTCAAGATACCATTCCACCCAGTTTCGTTCAACGGATAAAAAAGAGTCGTAGCCCAGTTTCTACCCTCGACCGGTGTGCGTTCCACCAAAAACCTGCCCCGAAATACCGCGCTGGAAGCTCCAACCGACGGACGAGCGAAATTACAGAAAAATCTGCGGAACCGTTACATGTGCAATTAACCTGAAAAAAAAAAGAGAGAGACATAGAGCAGCTCGAAGCAACCCCTTCAGCACCCTCCGGTGCGTGCACCGGATCCCGGTGGAAAAACCGAATTGAATTTCGTGTAACCATGGCGACTGCGTGACACAACGAACGACCGCAGCAGGCGTGTGTCGCGAGCGTGTGCGCGCGTCAAACGAGCGGCTCAGTCAGCTTCGACGTATGTGCGTGTCCGTAGTGAACTTGCGCTGACCACACCTGTGCGTGTCACGCCGCCCAGGTGGAACGATACGCGACAACATGGGGTTGTATGTATGTGTGTGTGTGTGTGTATTGGTGCATCGTGCGTTGCGCATTTTATCGCCGCATAATGGCCTCGCGGCGGTTCGTTACCACCTACGTAATAAAGCCATATTAAACAGGACGGTTTAAAGTGTTAACCCCCAACCCCTCCACCTACCCCTCCATCCCCCGCTTCTAACCGCCTGTTCGGGAGCGTAACGAACGCGGCTAAACGACAGACAGCTTCAACCCCCTTGCAGAAGACTCCTTTGTTTCGCGTGAATATCAGGGTGGGTCGGTTTATCTCTTTCGAATGGTGAGATAGGGTGGGAAGGATACGCGTGGTGGGCCCCATGTTTCGAGGAATTGGGTGATTTCTGATGTGAAAAGCTGTAATTACCGTTCGGTTACCTTAAGGAAGACTGGTTGATTTTCTGGGAATACAACGTGTGGTGCACGCTTTTGTTAATTGAATCTTCCTATTTCCTTGGAATATCAGATTTAT